TTCCCTTTCCTCATCTGAAAAAATGGAGATGATAATACACCACCTACCTCACAGAATTGGTGAAAAGTAAAATACTATATTCTAATTTTTTCCTAATTTTTTTTTTTTTTTGGCTAGGCAATGGGGTTAAGTGACTTGCCCAAGGTCACACAGCTAGTAAGTGTTATGTGTCTGAGACCAGATTTGAACTCAGGTCCTCCTGAATCCGGGGCCAGAGCTCTATCCACTGGGCCACCTAGCTGCCCCTATATTCTAACAATAATAAAAATAATCATTGCTATTATTACCCCCAATATAATGATTCCAAATTCTGTCCTCATTGGTAGCGCCACTTGTTGTGTGTTCCCCGCCCCCCTCCCTGGGAGAAATGAGTTGTATCATCCTGTTTTCTGTTATTAAAGGAAACTCAGTACTTAAACATCCGAATTTTTAGAGCAAATAAGTTGAGGTGAGGAGGCTTCTTTACCTTATAGGAAGGTTCACTTCAGGTGTTTTTGAAAAAGTGGACCTCTGTTGCATTTCTAATTTGATTCAGTTTATGAAACTTTTTTTTTAAAATACACATTTTATCTAGAAAATGCCTTCCTGTATAAATTGAGACACAGTTATGATGAAGTGGAGTTATCCAATGCTAAGGGGTAAAGCTTCTCCATGGAGCTGCATGATCCACAGCTCTTTAGAACACAGTTCCTCAGTATTGTCCCCTTGGACTCATTGTCCTTCCTCTTAACATTTCCACTCAGGTCTTTGATATTGCTTCCTCCTTTCTAGCATAGGCTAAAGCTGTTAGAGCTATTTCTGAAGGTGTTTGTTGTCACCTTCATCTGTAATCATCTTGATAGAGTCTTTGTTGTTTTGTGAGCCTCTGTTATAGAAGAAAGGTAAGTTGGGGGAAATGTTCTCTTTTTCTAATTTTTAGAAAGTCCCTTTAGCCTCTTGGAAAGACTTTTGCTTGGTGCTAACAATATTTTCATAGCTCCCTAACTAGCAGTGATATCACAGAGAGTTGAGGACAGTAAATTTCAGAAATTGTACTTGAAACAAGCGAGAGTTACATTTCTTGACTGCCTTGAAATCAGGATACTTGCTCTGCTTTTTCAAGCTCTCACTGTATGGTTTTAACTGTAGCTCTTAGTTTCAGGGCCAGAGAAAAGAAAAAAAACTTAAGTTTTGGTGGTTACTGTGTTTTTTGAAACAGAAAACTGAAAAAATTAGAAATTTTGAAAATATCGACTTAGAAATTGCTTTAATATTTCGAAAAAGCCCTTCTGTAAATCACTTTCCACTGTTTTCTCTGTTAATATATGTCTATTGCTACCTTCCAAACCTGACTCAGAGCTGACCTGCTCCAGAAAGCATGACTGATCCAACATAGCAATTCATTACCCCTCTGTTCTGGGTCCCATTATTTCTTTTTTTTCTTTTTTTTTTTAGTGAGGTAATCAGGGTTAAGTGACTTGCCCAAGGTCACACAGCTAGTATGTGTCAAATGTTGAGTCTGAGGCCAGATTTGAACTCAGGTCCTCCTGACTTCAGGGCCAGTGCTCTATCCACTGTGCCACCTTGCTGCCCCCAATTATTTCTTAATGAACATTATTGGAGATGGATTCTTTTGTGTTGTTCCTTGGCTATCACATGGGCACTCTCCAGGTAGATTATGAGCTCCTAAGGACAGACTCTTTCATACCTTCTTCTCATTTCCACTTCCTACTCCTAGTATTTCATATAGCATAGTCCTCTGCATCAATTACCCTGGCACTGTCAAGACAGCAAGTTGGAACTATTTCTAGTTCTGTCTGTTGAAAGAAAGGAAGTATCTGTAATATTTTATTTGTATGTCATCACAAGGACAGCATAGTTCCTTTCTGATTTGTCTGTGGTTGAGTGAACATGGAAAATCTAGAATCAACCTTAACATTCAAGCCAAGAACACTGAAGAACAGAGCAGGGCAGGAATGAATTTTCATTTTACTCAAGGATTTCTTTTAGTTTCTTCTAAAATAAAACTTTATTGATGTATTTTACTTTTATATAACTTACATTTCCCAGTGCCTCCCTTCTTCTTCCTCATTCATTTTGTTTCGTGGAAGAAATATCAGTGTGCTGGTGTTAGAAATCATGTGAGAATTAATTAATTGATTGATAATTCTGAGGGACCACCTCACATCTTTCAGATTGGCTAAGATGATAAATGCTGGAAGAGATATGGGAAAACAGGCACACTAATATACTTTATTTATTTATTTATTTTTTAATTTTTAGGCAGTTGGGGTTAAGTGACTTGCCCAAGGTCACACAGCTAGTAAGTGTCAAGTGTTTGGTCGGAGGCTGGATTTGAACGCAGGTCTTCCTGACTTCAGGGCCGGTGCTTTATCCACTCTGCCACCTAGTTGCCCCCTCACTAATATACTTTTTTTGGAGCTGTGAACACTAACTATTCTGGAAAGCAATTTGGAATGATGCCCCAAAAGCTATTAATTAAGTTGTAGATACCCTTTGATCCAGTAATACTGCTAGATCTATACCTCAAAGAGATCAAAGAAAAAGGAAAAATACCCATATTTACAAAGATATTTATAGCAGCTGTCTTTGTAAGTGCAAAGAATTGGAAACTAAGAGGAAGCCCCTCACTTGGGGAATGGCTGAAAAAGTTATGGTATATGAATATGATGGAAGATGAGTAATACTGTAAGAAATGATGAAGAGGATGGCATCAGAAGAAATCTGAGACAACTTATATGAACTGATGCAAAGTGAAGTGAGCAGAACCAATACACAGCAACAGCAATATTGTAAAGATAATCGGCTTTGAAAGACCTTTAGTAACATTGATCAGCACATTGATCTATCACAATTCCAAGTGATTTATGATAAAACATGCTATCAGCCTCCATATAGAGAACTGATGGACTCGTAGGGTAGACTGAAGTACATTTTCTCTCTCTTTTTGGGAGGCCTTTTTTGGGGGTTGTGAGTTATGTGTGTATAGAGAACATGGCTAATGTGGAAATTTGTTGTGCATGCCCATACATATTTGTAATGGTTTTTTATTTTTATTTTTTTACTTTTCAATGAGTAAGGGATGGGGAGTCAGAGAGAGAGAGAATTTGGAACTGAAAAATAAAGAATAAAAACATCCATCCTCTTTAAAAAAAAAAAGGAAAAAACATTGAAATCATGTGAAGTAATAAATGCCAACACTGTGTACTGAATAGAAGGCTAATACACAAAGGATTTTTTTAAGTATAAAAAGTTCTCAATTTTTGGTGATTATGAAGTTTTTGGATTATACTAGAATTTATAATAATTTTAAAATTTCTGATTTTTAAGTGTCAACATTCAGCTCATAAATTGGCCAGATTTGATTCTAGATGGTTATGAATTGCAGGCACTGGACGTCCAGCATTAAAAATATTGGCCTTCAGCAGGCTTAGTAAATGAAAAATCTAATCTAAATTCCTATTAATATAAAAAAATTCAGAAGTCAGTTTCTTTTTTCCTTTCCCTCATAACAAGATTAACAGAATCTTTACTGTTTTCTATGTTTGCCCTTTCTGAATTAGCCATTAACTGCTGGGTCCAAAATTTCAGAAATGAGTAGCTAATGTGGACTTTTTCCTCCCTCACCAATCCCCCTGCCCAGTAACACCAGGGCTGGTATAGTCTACAGCCTTAAAGGGGTTGACTTTGGGAGGGTGTGATTTAATGACTAAGCCAGGCTAAATGGGCATTCTTAGGCCATAAGCAGTGACTCAAATGTGGGTAGTTCTGACTCCCTTCTCCTTTATGTTTTGTTCCTATGTGAATCCTCCCATGGCGCTGCTTATATGTGTCCTATTTGTGCACAGGAAAGACAGGGTCCCCCCAGCATAGTACTCAGAATATCTATTCTTTGCCTGATACTGGGTGAATTCTGGCTCTTTCATTTTGACAGAGGGTATAGGTTCAAACTCCATCATTCCACCTTCCCCAAGATCACCACTTGAAATATCATAAAGTTGTAGGTGGATGGGGTGTGTGATAGCACCTGTTACTAGCCTGATCTTGGCTATTCAGTTGTGATTAAACATGGGGTATTCCCTGCCTTAAAGCAGAAAGCATTGAAAGAAGACTCAGAATTTGTGGGGTTCTTGTCCCAGCTATGCTACTTACTATAGAATATAAACTTGTTGAGAATAGTTGATTTTTAAAAATTTATATCCCCAATACCTAGGTGCTTAATAAATGCATTGTTGATTGATTATTAGCTGTGTGACCTCTTCAAACTTAGCTTACCCTCTTCAAACTCTCACTTACCCAGCTGTAAAATGGGCATCAGAATACCTGGCCTGTCCGTCTCAGAGGAGTGATGAGGAACAAATGAAATAATTTTTGAGAAAGTCTTTGCAAACGGAAAAAAAAACTTTGAACAAGTATAAGACATTCCTCTTGTATGGCAGGTGCTGTGAATGCAGGTGTCTTTTTCTCCCCCACCCCAACCCTCTTTCCTACTGAAAGTACCTAAAGGAAACCAACCTCCTTACATATTCTTGTCACTTCATTGCGATGTTTCACAATGAATGTTCCTAAGTAGGATCCTTTGAGCTGTCCCTTTCCCTCCTCAACTTTTCCCTCTTCTCTTCCTCTCTCCAAATTAAGGCAGATTTTAAATTTTATCAGGATTCAGGGAAGGGGCATAGTTACAATTATCTAGATGTTATTTATTAGACATCTTCAGGCTTAACAGCCAGATTCTTGTGACAGGTAACAACAACCTTCACAGCTTCTCTTGGAAGTAGTCCATTTGGTACAAATGAGCTGATTAAACTGGACTTCCCCAAAGGTCCTGGGGAGCAGGGAAGAGGGTAGATAATCTTTGGGGAGTTTTTTCAACTTTAATTTTTAGCAGTCCTAAGTGTTGTGTATAGTATTTCATATGGAGAAGTGGAGATAATAATGGAGTAATAATATACTAGCTACCTCATAGAAATGGTGAAAAGTAAAATACTACATTATGACTAATAGTAATTACTATTGTTACTATGTTATGACAATAATTATTATACTATTGTTACCCCCAATAGCATGACTCCAAATTTTGTCCACCTTGGTAACTAGGCTAGTTTTTTCCGATAGAAATGAGTTGTATCATCCTTCCTTCTAATAGGGAGCTAGGTCTTTGGCCAAGAAGACATTCTATAGCTGCTTGATTAACTTTCCCCGCTTTCCTCAGAGTGTTTAAATCTAATGCAGAAACTGAAGCGTAAAGTATTTTTAATTAGATTATTCCTGTTACCCTGCCATTCAAGTTTATAGCAAGATACCTTTAATTGAGGCACTCTAGTGAAAACCAGGGGAAGGTATCATTGTTTGTATGCCTGCATGTTTCTGAGAGAGAAGAAGGGAGAGAGAAAACAAATGTTTAAAAGGTAATGTTTTCATTCAAGATTTCCTTTCCTTTCAAGTTTCAGGTTTGTGGCTTTAGTATTTTGAGTCTGGGAGAATGAGGCTGCTACTCTGACCCTAATTCACTATCCTAGTATCACACTATAGGATTGGAGGTACATTGGAATTTCAGACACACATTTCCTATGAAACTAAACTTCATAAAACCCCTGGGGAAGCCTCTGCTGGCAGCTGTTTGCTGTTGTAAAGCAGGAAATAATGTGTGAGGAAGGATGATAGTGCAGGGAAAACATTTTTTCTTGACTTCTCGAAATTGGGGAGATGCAGATTGGAAGGAATACTCTGGGGAAAATGTGGCACAGAATACCTGATGGGGCAGTGTGGGGTGGGGAACCTGCCCCACTTGAGGACCTGGAGGCCACAGATTCTCTGCTCCTGGTCTGAGGACTTACTGGTGAGTTGGTGCTGGCATATGACTCAAACACTAATTAAATATCATAGAGAAATGTCATTGTATGAGGCGATGGTTGGATTCTCCTGATGCAAAGGATGGAGGACTGGCCTCTTTCTTGTTGGAACATCTGGTTTTCAAGCATCGTGTGCTTGAGGCATAGGACTTTAGAGTATAGCATCCTCTTTCTCCTGAGACAGGAATCGTTCCCAGACCTGTGAGCATGGCCACGGCACAAACCGTTGGGCCTCATTTGTATTTTCTTTGTTCATACAGAGTTACCCCGGTAACTTCATGATGATAACTTTTCCCATTTCTTGGTCATAACTTTTCTGTTCTGTATTGTCTACAATGTGGGAGGCATCACGGTTCTGTCTGAGAGATCAGTCAGCATAGTTTTTTCTTTTGAGGGTTTTAAAGGCTCTTTTTCAACGTTTCCAAAAGCCCTATCTTCTGAACACAGCCATGGGAGCTGAGGCTTTGATAACCCAGGCATTTACTTTGTAGGTTCAGAACTCATTTTAGGAGCCCCTTTAAACCTCACTGAAGGAAGCAGGGTAGTCCCCGCTTGCCCTCAGAGATGTGCAGTGTGGCTTCAAAGGGGCATCACAGTGAAACAGGAATAGCAAAGGGGCTTTTTCCTCAGAATGCACAGTTCTGAATGAATCACTGATTTGGTACCAAAAGCACAACTAAATATTTAAAAGCTAACAAATTAAGCAAAAGCAGTTTTGATTGTAGAAGCAGTTAAAAGTGATGCTCATTAGCAAAGAACTGTATAACATAGCAACAGTCCTTTAGTTTAAGGCTCAAAGCTTTTTGCTAACCATTTCCTTTCTTTGGTAATTTTGCATCTTAAACGGGATGGACACAATGCAAAGTGGCACCAAGGGCTTTGATAACCTAATTGGAAACCACTCAGCGTTTTGCTTTTTGGTGCAGATTTGACCAAAAAAAAACCAAAACCATTTTGAATGTTTACATGATAGCGTAGGAGCATTTGTTTTTATAGGCATGGAAAATAACCAGGAATATGAACAAAAGTACTAATTTGGTTTGTTTCTTGGCAACAAAATGCTTATGAAAAACTTCTCTTTTTTTGTTTGTTTTTTTTTTTGACCTGAGTAAGTGGTTCCTTTAAAGTGTGTGTGTGTGTGTGCGTGTGTGTGTGTGTGTGTGTGTGTGTGTGTGTGTGTGTCTGTCTGTCTGTCTGTCTGTCTGTCTGTCTCTGTATGTTTTACAGTCGGGGTAACAATATTGTGTTTTATTCTACAGGGACTTAAGTACCTGTGTATTCCTGCTGCTGATTCGCCCTCTCAGAACTTGTAAGTTTTTCTTGCTACTTTGTGATATTAAAAACTAAATAAATAAATGCAGAGCAATTACAATCTAGTAAAGCCAGAGGGGATCTTAGAGAGTATTCAAATAAACTCTCTTAGGTTGCAGGTGGATAGAGCATTACCAGTGGAATCAGGAAGACCTGAATTCAAATCCAGCCCCAGGCACTTAGTAGCTGTGTGACCCTGGGCAAGTCAATTAACTTCTCTTTGCCTCAGTTTCCTTATCTATAAATGAAGCGCTATATAAATGTTGGTTATTGTTGTTGCTGTTGTATCATTATTATTGCAGGAGAAGATGCTGAGGTGAAGTGACTTGTGGAGGTCACACAGCTGGATAGCACATTGAAGTGGGGATTAGAACCAGTGTAAGTGATTACCTTTGTGACTAGTTGAGTACTCTTACATCTTGACTGCCCCGTGGAAGACTTGAGATGATTATTTTTAAATGAACAACACATTCAAACCCAACCATGTAACGATACTCAGTTGGTGTATTGTTCTTAAAGGAAAAGCTCATCTTAAGTTACTGGTTTTCTCCCAGAGAGTCCAGTAAATAGTTGTTTATATCGAGAACTGGCAGGCCCCAGTTCTCTTTTTCTCTCCAGCTCCCTGACCATAGGTAAGCCACTTCATTTTTCTCTGCCTCAGTTTCTCCATTGTTAAAATAGGGTTTATAGCACCTGCCCATGTCCAGGTCACAGGGATATTGAGATGACATATGAAATAAGGCATTTGAGCCTGTTTGGGGAAAAGGTATTATGTGAATCTAAAGTATTAATAATATCAATAGCAGTTATATAAATTTTAATATTCCAATATCTATGTTTCACTGTGTATACAAATGGTTACTGAAGATTATCAAGTACTTCCGTGTCAGTCAACTTTGATTTCACTCTTTCAGTGAAACTCTGGGGATAGAGAAGCCACAGATTGGACAATAGCTCATGGATACTCCAAGCTGGCCGTGTGAGAGAGAGAGAGGGAGAGTGTGTGTGTGTGTGTGTGTGTGTGTGTGTGTGTGTGTGTACTGCACACACATATACATATGTAGAGATAGGGATCAGACCTAAGATGGTTGTAGGGATCTCCTGGATAATTCGCTTTACCAGTGCAAGTGATTACCTTCTTTTTAGTCTTAGAGATTGCCTAGAGCATTGAGAAGGTAAGTGACTTGCCCAGGGTCACAGAACTGCGATGGTTCCTAGCTCCAAAGCCAGCTCTCTATTCACTATGCTGTGCTATTTCTATCAACACACACACACACACACACACACTTTTTTTTTTAAGAGAAAAGTGACTAGGATTGCGTTGTAGTCAGAAAGGAGACGTGGGTAGGTTAGGAGAAAGTAGGAGAATTTGACCCGTCAGCTCATTTTCACCCCTAACTGACTCTTGGTAGGAAAGATAACCTATTATCTACCATCTGCCATTGTGGAACAGTCCAATCATTGATCAAGAGTAACAATCCCCAATGCACATAAGCCCCGGATTTGGAAGGAGTGAAGAGAGGCAGGTTTTCAGAACTTCCCTGGTAACTAACTGTGCTGAGAAACAGAAGTGGTTGAAAGAGCATGCTATGTACGGAAGGAAGTACAGCTCTGGGTTTCTCTGAAGATCATAGCAGTGTTCTGGCCGATGTTTTTGGTGGCTATTTTTAGCCAGCTAGTATTTCTCTAATCTCAAGAGATTCTGCCATGCTCATGAACCTAAATCTATTTCTCTGATTTTCATTGTGCAATCTTTGGCAGAATCCCCATCTGTAAAGTGGCCTGAACCTTAGAAGGTCAGGCAGCCATCTCAGGAACTACTACGGGCATTACTATCTCACATCTTGGCAATTTGGCACTCATTATGATGCATCTGTGTCAGCAGGAAAAGGTAAAGTTCTGTTCAGAACATTACGATAAGGCAGGGGAGTGTGTGATACATTTTAGAAAGATTTTGATCAAAAACAGTTAAAAAATTTCAGGCCTTGAAGTAGGGGTCCCGAGTCAACCATCAGGAGAGTTCACTTATATGAGACAGTTCATTCAGTGATGGTGAACATATAAGGCCAATGTGTGAATTTGGTTTGTTATTATATGGGTTCAGATCCACTATTTGTCAAATTGTGTTCCTGAAACATAAGCACATGCAAAGCCTGATAATCCTATTTCGTTCTTTTATTGGGTGTGAGTCATTTCCTATCCATACATATTCACCCTCTCATCAGTGATCTAAACGAGTCACACTGTATCTGATCGCCTGCCTTCCTGCGTAATTCCACCATGATGGATGGGTGAGAGTTCACATTAGGGTCTCAAGTTGTAGTAGATGGTGTGGTTTATAGCAGCACTGATGGGTACGGTTTGTGCGGAGGAAGGATGTGCACAGAGAGCAGCTCAACAGCTGATTGGTACAACCAAAAAGATTTACTGTTTTCCTTTTGAAATCTTGTGTAAACAGATAGTCTTCTGTTTCAGTTGGGGAGGAAGGAAAGAACATAATTTAGCTAATGGAGAAAAGGTGACTTTTTCATATTATGCATTTGTTAAATTAAAGGACACTTAGTTAAAATTTGAATTTTTTAAGCCATTAGTAATCAGAGTGAAATCACGCAAACCGTAGCCTTTAATGCACAAAACAACAATTCTATCACTGTTTCCATTCTCCTTGTTATAGACAGGTTATTAAGATAATTTTAGGTTTCCCGGGGGCAGAGCCAAGATGGCAGAGGGAAAGCAGTGACTTGCTAGAGCTCTCCCCCAAAGCCCTCCAAATACCTACAAAAAATGGCTCTAACAAATTCTAAAGCAGTAGAACCCACCAAAAAAACAGAGTAAAACAAATTTCCAGCCCAAGACAACCTGGATGGCTGATCGGAAAGGTATATCGAGCCGGGCTGGGAGAAGAGCGCAGTTCGGCGTGGTTGCGCAGGCCGCAAGCGGCCCTGGAGCAGGCCTCAGAGGACTGAATTGCGGGCAGCTGTGGCAGTTTCCAGACTTCTCAACCCACACAAAGACAACTTAGAAGGTCAGTGGGAAAAGTCTGTGACTGCGGTGAGAGAAGAAGCTAGGTCTCAGCCGCCCCCAAGACAGCAGCTGGCTTCTGAGCTTTCGGCCCACAGACTGAGGGGGAATCGAGTGGCTGATCAGAGGGGGATTGCAAGGATCTCTTTGCCAGGGCTGAGGCAGGAATCTCTTGCTTTGCCCATACTTGGATCTGGGTCACAGTTCTGAGGGGGGTGGTCCTGGGCAAGGAGGAGTGCTGGCCCGGTGGAGCTTGTTGTGGCGGTGGAGAGGAAACACCTTGCCGCTTATCATAGCACCTTGGAAGAATTGACACTTTTCAGGTCCCTAGAAGTATCTCTGAAAACAGCTGTACAAACCCCCAAAGCTTGGAACAGTATGTTCTCCACATTGGAAACAGACCCTTACCTTAACAAAGAGATTAAAACTCAAGTAATTGGGTGGGATCATGAGCAAGCAGCGCAAAAAGAGTCAGACTGTATTATCTTACTTTGGTGACCAAGAAGATCAAAACATATAACCAGAAGAAGAAAACAAAGTCAAAGCTCCTACATCCAAAACCTCCAAGAAAAATATGAATCAGTCCCAGGCCTTGGAAGAGCTCAAAAGGGATTTTGAGAAGCAAGTAAGAGAAGTAGAGGAAAAACTGGGAAGAGAAATGAGAGTGATGCAAGAAAATCATGAAAAGCAAGTTAACAGCTTGCTAAAGGAGACCCAAAAAAATACTGAAGAAAATAACACTTTAAAAAATAGCCTAACCCAAATGGCAAAAGAGGTCCAAAAAGCCAATGAAGAGAAGAATGCCCTAAAGAGCAAAATTGGACAAATGGAAAAGGAAGTCCAAAAGCTTACTGAAGAAAATACTTCCTTAAAAATTAGAATAGAGCAATTGGAAGCTAGTGACTTTATGAGAAATCAAGACACTGTAAAACAAATCCAAAAGAATAAAAAATTAGAAAACAATGTGAATTATCTCATTGGAAAAACAACTGATCTGGAAAATAGATCCAGGAGAGAGAATTTAAAAATTATTGGACTATCTGAAAGCCATGATCAAAAAAAGAGCCTAGACATCATCTTTCAAGAAATGATCAAGGAAAACTGCCCTGATATTTTAGAACCAGAGGGCAAAATAGAAATTGAAAGAATCCACCCTTCTCCTCCTGAAAGAGATCCCCAAAGGAAAACTCCTAGGAATATTGTAACCAAATGCCAGAGTTCCCAGGTCAAGGAGAAAATATTACAAGCAGCCAGAAAGAAACAATTCAAGTATTGTGGAAACACAATCAGGATAACACAAGATTTAGCTGCTTCTAAATTGAGGGACTGCAGGGCATGGAATATAATATTCCAGAGGGCAAAAGAGATAGGATTACAACCAAGGATCACCTGCCAAGTAAAACTGAGTATAATTCTTCAGGGGAAAAAATGGTCATTCAGTGAAGTAGAGGACTTTCAAGTATTCTTGATGAAAAGACCAGAGCAGAATAGAAAATTTGACTTTCCAATACAAGACTCTTGTGGAACATGAAGAGGTAAAGGAAAGAGAAAATCATAAGAGACTTATTAAGGTTGAACTGTTTACATTCCTGCATGGAAAGATGATATTTGTAACTCTTGAGACCTTTGTCAGTATTAGGGTAGTTGGAGGGAAAAAATTATATGTATGTACATATATATAGATAGATGGATGGATAGATAGATAGATAGAGGGCACAGGGTGATTTGAAGATGAAGGGGTCATATCTGGAGAATAAAATTAAGGGGTGAGAGAGGATTATACTAGGAGAAGGAGAAAGGGAAAGGTAGAACGGGGTAAATTGTCTCACAAAAAAAAAACAAACCAGAAAAGAAAAGGCTCTTGCAGTGGAGGGGAACCGGGGGAAGGTGAGAGGAAATGAGTGAATCTTATTCTCATAGGATTTGACTTAAGGAGGGTATAACATACACACTCAATTGAGTATGGAAATCTGTCTT